AAAATGTTAAATGGGTCATAAATGGGTAAATGGACAAAACATGCACGTCCATTTATGACCCGCCCATTTAATAGCCAAACTCATCCATTTAACATCCCTAATCAAGTCCTACAACTGGTAATGTCTCAAGAGGTAAATTTTAGTTTAAGCATGTGAGTTATGAATGATATCATTATGAACATGGTCTGAATCTGCCTTGTATGGTGATTTAACCTATATTTCTAGACAAATTCAGGGTGGGATGTTCTAATTCTTCTCATGTGGAGAATATGCATACTATACATAACTTACCTCAGAGCCTACATGCTACTTGACAACCCAAGTCCTCTAGTAAAATATCTAGCGTATTGTATTTAAATTAACAATCTTGCAAGAAATCCCTCAGATCTATAGACAATACTTCTTGGTAGGTCTCTTAATCAGGCAGATATGGTAACAAAGTCAATAGATCTAGGTTATCACTGAGACGCTGAGATCAAATAGTGCATTATTTTCGTGAAGAAGAAATTTCCCTAATGAATAACACTAGTAGAAAAATGAGCAAACTAGACGAAACAAACTAGACGGAAAATATTCCGTCTAGTTTGCTCTGTCTAGTTTGAGGTAATCTAGACGAAAAATTCCGTCTAGATTGCCAAATTAGACGGAAGTTACTTTTTTTTTAAAAAAAATTCCACTCATCCTAGACGGAAATTCTATCTAGGATGCAACCCGTCTAGGTTGCGACGGGTTGCCAAAAAAAAAACCCTAACCTTTTCCCCAACCCCCAACACCTGCCCATCTCCCTCTCATTCACACACCCCCCCCCGAAAAGAAAAAAAAATCTAATTCTCTCCCCCCACCCGCTGGCCCCTCTCCCCCTTGCTTTGTCGACCCGCGCCGTCCTCTCTATCCTCTCCTCTTCTTCTATTCGCCCCCCCCCCCCCCTCTTCTCGTACTATGCTAGTGAAACTTGTAGTACGTGCCAAGTAAACTAACAAATTCTTAAGTTTACTATAATTTTCTGTCTACATGTATTTACCGATAATAGAATATTTCTTTTTTTGGTCTTCAAATCTTAGGTTTTTCTTCATGAAACTTTGGAACCATATTGATGGGTTCTATTCAGGTTTACTTCTTTTTCCTTTTCACATTGATAGGTTCTACCAATTAATTTAAAGCAGTAATTTAATAGGTACTGGTCTATTTCAGGTGCCCATAACAACATTAGGTGCTATTTTGATGGATAAATGTGGAAAACGTCCACTTTTAATAGTAAAGAAACAGCACTGAACGTTCTTTTTTGCCCCTTCTAGTTTTATCAATAAATAAAATTTCTCAACAAGTTGTTTTTACTTAATGGTTTCAGCATTAGGAACATTTTTAGGGTGCTTTTTAGCTGCAATATCATTTTATTTGAAGGTAGTGCTCAAATTATGAATCTTTGGGGTGTTTTATCTATTATTGGGCATCCTCTTAAAATGATAAGGAACCACTTTTCTTGATTTAGGGGCAAGGATTGTATATGGAGTGGTCTCCTATGCTAGCCCTTTTTGGGATACTGGTAAGATAAATATTCTCTTTTATGTGATGTATGTATTTATGCACATATTTATATACGTAAGCACTGGCGGATCTACATAGTGTTCAGTGGTGCATGTCACAGACTCATAGGATACCACTAGTTTGCTTATTTCATAGATAGCTTATGTTTACTTAGTAGTTCATATGCTGAAAACCAATGTTATAAATAGCGGTAAATAGTTACGCAATAGCGGCGCTAATAGCGTTAGCGGTCCCTTCCCGCGACGCTATCGCCCGCTACGCTATCGCGCAATAGCGGTGACTATCGCGAAATATGTCTGTTCGCAAAAACGGTCAATAGTGTGTCATAACGGTAAATAGTGAGCGATTGTATTCGAAATTTGCTTTTTGACTGCTATTTAAAAGCGGTTTAAGGTTTATTTTTTTTAAATTAAACTCAACCCTTGACCATTGCATTCCACTGTCTCCTGTGATTTTCAGCATACTATCGCCACCTCTCATAGCCTCTGGCACCTACATTGATACTTCCTCTCACCTCCTTCACTGTGAGCTCTTCTTAGGACAGTCCTATCACCGTTAAGCTCTTTTTCTCGAAGACGACAACTTTTTAACTCCTCCAGTCATCTTCGGTATTACATGATGGTTACATGTCTATTTCATGTTTAGGATCTCTTTAAATCATCCAATATGTATTTTTAGATCTCTTAGATTTTTCTTTAATTTTTTTAGTATTTATACATATCTAAATTAGACTGCTATTTGACTTTGCGCTTTTTACCGTTATTTTACCACAATAGCCCGAAATAGCCTTAGCGATGCCTCATCGCTACGCGACGCTATCCGCTATCGATAACCTTGCTGAAAACTCTATGGATGATAAAGATAGATCTAAGCCATACTTCAATGCTTGGTTTCCTAAAATTCCTAATGAAATCTGTTATGCTGCTTCTTGATACAGATTTTCTTAGGATTTTACTCAATAGGAAAGGGACTTATTCCTTGGGTTCTGATGTCTACGAGCACAAAATCCTCAAATTTCCCTCCAACTGTGTGTTTATTTTTCTTTATTTTTCTTTCTCCTTTTTTCTTCATTTTAACTGTTTTTACCGTGTAAATTATCGATAATGCAATTGAATTGGACCTTTTCAGATATTCCCAATTAACATGAAAGGGATTGCCGGAAGCTTGGTTGTTTTTGCTAACTGGTTTTGTTCATGGGTGCTCTGTTATGCATTCAATTTTCTCATGAGCTGGAGCTCTTCAGGTAATATTCACATTGTCCTAAATATATCAAATTTCACCAAAAATAATTTGGGAAAATAAAAAATAATTAAGGAAAAATGTTCCATGATTATGAAAATAGAAAAAAATTAAGGAAAGAAAATAGTCCGCTCAAAGTCTGTAAATGCATATGATAAGAAATATTTTATGAGAGAATATGCAAACGTAAGTCGAGGTTAACATCCTTATATGACTTACAGATTCTACAAACAAAATATTTTGATATTTAATTGCTACCTTATTTCAGGACTTCGCAAACCATAAAATTTGCCAAACATTGCACATACAAATAAGGGGAAAAAATTATATGAACTTTTTTAAATATTAACTAAGGAATATGTTTTGGTTTCACGTACCTTCTTGATCTTCTCTACAGTTTGTGCATCGACAATTTTGTTCTTAGGAAAGTTAGTACCCGAAACTAAAGGTCGCACTCTAGAAGAGATTCAAGCATCAATGAATTCCTGCAAATGAAAATGTGCAGTTATTCATCTCATGTTATGGATGGACTTGGTATTGCTAATGTATCTGATGTAAATATTCGGATAATATAAGTTTTTACTGAAATGGATATTGGCTTAGATTGTTGGATGTATATATTAGACTGGATTGTTGGATGTGTATTTTGGATTGGATTATTAGATGTGTGTAATGGATATGAATATTGATTATATTTGATTGAATGTGTATATTAAATCTACAGGAATTATCAATTAATGTGTATATCGTGAATGTAATGTAATGTACATGGAATTAACATTTTAAAAAGAATTTTTGTTGTAGAAAAAAGAACCTAGACGAAAATTCCGTCTAGGTTAAATCAACCTAGACGGAAATTCCGTCTAGGTTGCAATATAAACTTAAACGGAATTTCTGTCTAGGTTGGAAATTCCGTCTAGGTTGCTTCCTAGACGGATTTTCGTCATCCGTCTAGGTTGTTTTCCGTCTAGTTTGAGCAACCTAGACAGATTTCCGTCTAGTTTGCTTCAAACTAAACGGATTTCCGTCTAGTTTGCTTCAAACTAGACTGAAATATCCTAGACGGACTTTTCTAGACGGATTTCCGTCTAGGTTGCGCGTTTTTCTACTAGTGTAAACTAATAAAGAGAGAAAGGTGCAAGGAGTTCTTATACCATAACATGCACATACACTTACCTATACATATGTACATACATGTCTACGCATGCACTTAAGTACACTGCTGGCCTTTTTGGTGCTATGTCTCTCTTAATATCCATGAATCTAGAATTGGTAGAGTGCAATCATAAGCTAAGTTCTTACAGACACTCTATCCTATGGACTCATTATCTTAAATTCCTAGAGTTAGCATATGCATGCAATTTCATCTTATTTCCCGCCTGAAATGAATCCATACATGGTTTAGCTTTACTCTATGACATAGTTTTATTTGAATCAGCTGTAACATTGCAAAAATAATGCAATTCATCTTATTCCCTACCTGAAATGACCGGCTATCTTGAGTTGCTGATACTTTTACCTAACTGATGTCTAGTTTATTTGAATCATCCACCAGTGCTACTTAACTTGACAATGAAATATTACACTAATCAAAGTTTTGTTAAATGGCTAGAGATGTTAACCTTGACAAATTTGAAGCGGACTAATGACGAATGGCTAATAGTTTGATACCTAGCTAACTGATGTCTCTATTTGTTTGTATTAAGTTGGTGAAGAAAGGGAAACAAACTGCATCTCAATCGAGATCATACGTTGTTTGGAATCATGAGATGGACACGACTTCAGCTCATATTTTGTACGATCAAATGAATCAAGGATTAAAAGTTGATGGTACTTGGAAACCTCAAGGGAGGTTGATGAACTAAACTCATCATTAAAACTCAATTTGTATTGCATCATAGGAAAAGACTAGCATGTTCAAATTATATTGCCCNCTGAAACCGCTATTTCTCAAAAAAATGGGACAGCTAAGTTTCAGAGGGACAAGGAAGGGAGTACTAAGAGAGTGCACGTTGGAGACAAGGGTAAGAACAAGAGACCCTTAACTGGACCTCAACAGCAACAGCAGGGCCCTCATAAGAAGGGATCTCAACAGGATCAGAAAGCACGTCAGTAGCACAAGTTCCGGGGAACTTGTTTTAACTGTCGCAAGGTCGGACACAAGGCATTAGAGTGCCGCAGTGCACCAACAAGAGCTCAGAAGGGAAATGGTCCTATAAAACTTAAGCAGAATGTCTCATTCCTGTACTTATTAGCTAATTTACAAAGTACATACTTCAGATTACACAACAAAACAAAGAGAGAGATGTACAAACAAGAAAAGATGTTGCCTGGTCTTTAGATGGGTGGTATGTTGGAGAATGAGAAACCCTTGTAGCCTTTGTATGCATAGTATGCGATCCTCGTGTAGTAGAATCCTGGCAAGAACATTAGTGATCCCAACACCGCAAAGAAAATACCTATTGAGCAAAAAAGAAAAACAATTATGAAACAAAATATTACATTCAGACTAAATATACCTTAAATAAAAAGGAATAAAAGTTACTGATTTTAACCAGAAATTCCACATATTTCTTGAAGAGCCAAACTTTATTTATTAGTGTAAAAATAGCAAATATTTCCACCATATAGGAAAGGAGATCAACAAATAATGACCAAAATTTAAATAGATCGAGAAGGAAACCCCAAAATCCAGCTACACGCTGAAGAAACTAACTAAATGAAATGGAAAATCTAGCTAATTACTTAAGAAAACAACTAATTGAAATGAAAAAAAGGCGGATGATAAATTGGACTAATTCTAAATTTCGCTAATAACTGAATAAATCTAGCTAATTTCTGAAGAAACGCCCAAAAAAGAGAGAACACTGGGAGAGGAAAAAAACACAAACTTCGGCAAATATTTCCAAATGAACGGATACACTCGAAATCGACAAAGGGAACTAGAAATTTTCAAAAAAGCAACAAAAATCTGAGACGGATCAAGAAGAAAACCCTAGCTAGGGTTTCGGTCTTCTCACCGTGAGCGCTGTCGCCGCCGACGCGATTATACGCCATGATGCTCCCAATGACGATCGCGAGAGTTCCGAAGACGAGGAGAGCGACAGCGAGGCCGATCTCTTTGATCGAAGGCTTGTTCAGAAGCACGTGAGGAGAATCCACCATCAGGTCCTCGTCGGTGATCAAGAACGCGTGATCCCCGTACGCCACCGATTGAATTATGATAGATTAAGGAAACCTTGGTCTTCAGAGATCCCAGATCCTTTCCTTTGCTCTTGGTCGAAAGCTTTTTAAGTAAGGAACCCGCGCCGAGAACTGCGAGCAAGGGGAACTTTTACTGGGGACTCGTCGTGCTGTTTCGTTTTCAGCTGGGCCCCACTGGGTGGAGCGGTTACGGTTTTGGGTGAGGAGGTGAGTGCGGCCGTGGGGGGTAAATATAATAAGGGAAAAATCCTTCCAGCCCCTAAAACCCAAGAAAACATCTTCCCGATTTTGTCAACAGGTGATTTGCCCCTAAAAATAAATATTTTGTTTTCTGAGCCCCCAAAACACCAAATCCAAGAGATTAAAATATGTGAAGAACATAATACTCTTCTCTCTCTCTCTTTTTATCATGATGTACTGAGATGATAGTTGAAATGATTGATGGGGATTATTTTATTATTTTATTTTTTATTATTTTCGTTGTTGATGAGGGGAACTAACTGTTTGTATTGTGAGATTGTTAAAATTACGGGTTAATTATTAAGGTTACGAGTTAATTGTTAAGGTTACGGGTCAATTGTTAAGATTATGGATCTCTTCTCTATCTCTCTCTCTCTCTTTATCGTGATGTTACTGTGATGATGTTGAAATGATTGAAGGGGATTGTTATTTTATTTTATTTTTTTGTTTTTTTATTATTTTCGTTGTTGATGAGGAAACTAATTATTTTTGTTTGTATTGGGAGATTGTTAAGGTTACGGGTTTAATTGTTAAGGTTATGGATTTGTTGTTAAGGTTACGGGTCGGTTGTTAAGGTTACGGGTTATTGTTAAGGTTACAGGTTTAATTGTTAAGGTTACATGTTTAATTGTTAAGTTTACGTGTTTAATTGTTAAGGTTGCGGGTTTGTTGTTAAGGTTACGGGTTTAATTGTTAATGTTATGGGTTTATTGTTAAGGTTACGGGTCGGTTGTTAAGGTTACGGGTTTGTTGTTAAGGATATGCGTTGGTTGTGAATGTTACACTTTGGTTGTAAAGTTAACCTACACAACAAACTCGTAACCTTAACAACAAACCTGTAACCTTAACAACCAACCTGTAACCTTCACAACCAACCCGTTACGGCTTTTTAGAATATTCGTTATTAAGGATACGGGTTGGTTGTTAAGGTTACGGGTTTGTTGTTAATATTACGGGTTTGTTATGTAGGTTAACTTCACAACCAAATCGTAACATTTATAACCAACGCATATCCTTAACAACAAACCCGTAACCTTAACAACAAACTCGTAACCTTAACAACCAACCTATAACCTTCACAATCAACCATTATCCTTAACAACGAATATTCTAAAAATATTGTGGCTGTAGGGGTTTGAACCCCTAACTTCTTGTCCAAACTCAACCCCTAACCTCTTGTCCAAACTCCCAAACTTTACCACTAGGCCAAGCGACCCAAAGTATTCATTCCACTCAATTATATATATATCCCAATGTGTAACCTTAACAACCGACCCGTAACCTTAACAACCAACCCGTAACCTTAACAACCAACCTGTAACCTTAATAACAAACCCGTAACATTAATAATTAAACCCGTAACCTTAACAACAACCCGTAACCTTAACAACCGACTCGTAACCTTAACAATCGACCCGTAATCTTAACAACAAATCTGTAACCTTAACAATTAAACTCGTAACCTTAACAATTAAACTTATCACCTTAACAATTAAACCCGTAACCTTCACAACCAACCCGTAACCTTAATAATTAAACCTGCAACCTTAACTATCTCCCAATACAAACAAAAATAATTAGTTTCCTCATCAACAACAAAAATAATAAAAAAACAAAAATAATAAAATAACAATCCCCTTCAATCATTTTAACATCATCACAGTAACATCATGATAAAGAGAGAGAGAGAGAGAGAGAGAGAGAGAGAAGGGATCCATAACTTTAACAATTGGCCCATAACCTTAACAATTAACTCATAACCTTAACAATTAACTCGTAATTTTAACAATCTTCCAATACAAACAGTTAGTAACCCTCATCAACAATAAAAATAATAAAAAATAAAAATAATAAAATAATCATCATCAATCATTTTAACTATCATCTCAGTACATCATGATAAAAAAGAGAGAGAGAGAGAGAGAGAGAAGGGTATTATGGTCTTCACATATTTTAATCTCTTGGGTTTTGTGTTTTGAGGGCTTAGAGAACAAAATCTTTATTTTTAGGGGCAAAATACCCGTTGACAAAGTCTTAGGGGGAAGCACGTTTTCTTGGGTTTTGAGGGCTAGAAGCATTTTCCCATATAATAATAATGGGGCACGAACTGAATGCTTTGTTTCTATCTAATGGCCTAATAAAGTCGCGAGAAGTTAAGAGGGAGTGTTAAGTTCTGGCTACGAAGTTGAATGAAGAAAATGAGCAAAGAAACATGTATGTTGAAATTTAAGATGTCAGATTCAATCCAGAGCTTGACCATTCTTTAGCCCGCTGTAATTAAATCTTCAAACAAGCTCACACTAGAGATTACACTTTGTGGGATTGTATAGTTTTCAATGTAAACTTTAGTTTTGCATTTAAATTATGTAAATCAAAATCTTAATAATTACATCCATACTTAATTAAGATCTTAGAACTATATGATTACCACATGCATAACAATTAATAAAGAAGACATACCTTGATCCATATTAGTGGCAAATGATTGGGCACAAGAGCCCTTTTGAACAAACAGAGAATCTCCCTCTTGAAGCTTTCTTTAGTCATCTTTATTGATTCTTTTCTTGATGGAGAGAAAAGATTCCATAAATGTTGAAGAGATGACATGTTTCAAAAATGAATCACCTTTTATAACCCTCATACCATCAATGAATAGTTAATGTAACTGCTCCCTCTTCTCTTGACCAATGGGATTTAGACAAGTGGTCCAAGAAGTTAGGAATGACTCACATGGACCATAATAAAATATTGCTTCTACATAATAAGTTTCTAACATTCTCCCACTTGGTCCATTCGACATTATCCAACTTCTTGATTTAGAACATCATGCGCAAATAATAAACTAAATCCCTTGTAAATTGGACAAATTATAAATCATTATTAAGCAAAACTACTAAGGATCATAGAGGTTCTATGTCATTAGATCGACACAGTTCCTTCCACGTGTCACAATATTAGTTCTATACTCAGTGTGACCCATAATGAGAGATATACCATAGTGGTCCAACAATAATATCTTTGTCAAAGACAAATTCTGTTATTCCAACATAATTCATTCATGTATATACAAAGATTAACATAATGGAACAAGGTGTATGAAATATCAGAAATACAAATTAAATGAGCTCAGAGTGTCAAATACACAAAGAACATAAAAAATCATCATAATGTCAATAATAATTTTTAGTGATGCTCATTCTTTCAACATGTGCATTAAATGTCTTTGGCGGCAATCCTTTTGTCAACAGATTCGCAATTATAAGATTGGTGCTAATGTGTTCAATTGATACTCTATGTTTCTGAACTTCCTCTTTTATAGCAAAGTATTTCAATTCCATATGTTTAGCACCTTTTGAATACTTGTCGTTTTTAGAGAAGAATACTGCTGCAGAATTATCACAATAAATTTTCAGCGGTTGACAATGTTATCAACAATTCCAAGTCCTGAAATGAAATTTCACAACCATAATCCATGAACAGTGGCCTCAAAGCATGCCTCAAATTTGGCCTCCATAGTCGATGCAGCAATGACAAACTGCTTCACACTCTTCCATGAAACTGCTCATTCTACTAAAAGGATCAAGTAGCCAAATGTGGATTTTCTAGTATCAACACATCCAGCAAATTCTGAATCTGAATATCCTATCACCTCAAGATGATTGGATCTTCTATAAGTGAGCATGTGGTCTTTGGTTCCTTATAAGTATCTCAACACTTTCTTTGCAGCTCTCCAATGATCCATTCCTGGATTACTTTGATATCTGCCCAGCATTCCAATGACAAAACTAATGTCTCGCATAGTATAAGTCTGAGCATACATCAACCTACCAACGATAGAAGCATATGGAATCCGTTCCATTTCTTTTTTTCTCCAATTCATTCTTTGGGCATTGCATAAGGCTAAATTTATCTCCCTTTTGAATTGGAACAACACTTGCAGAGCACATTTTCATTTTGAATCTCTCTAGAACTTTGTTAATATATGTTTTTTGAGACAATCCTAACAATCCTTGTGATCTGTCATGGAATATTTCAATTCCTATCATATAGGATGCCTCACTCAAATCTTTCATTTCAAAGTTCTCAGGGAGATGTCTCACGTAATGTGACGCCCCTAGGTTCACACAAGGCTGCAGTCCGAGGTGAAACCAAGAATGTCAAACCTGCCATGCACCACACCGTGCAATAACATGTTTCACCATCACAATTTTATCACTCTAGTGGGTCAATAATAGGTGTAGGTACAAAGGCAAGTAAGAGATACTACAAGAGATAGCTGATGAAACGATAGAGGTAAAATAGTATTTCATCATCCAACACACAGGAATATAATGTCAATGTCTAAAATGAACAAAACTGGAGTTCTTAATACATCTCAAATACAACAAGTCTGAATAAAGGAAACAATGTACACAGCTTTTACAACATCTAGAATAAAGTCCTCAAATGTCTAAACAAAGTCTATAGTGGAGCTCCAAAATAAAGCATAGCTAGAATAGACAGTCGAACACTAAAGTGTGTCGCCATCAACCTGCGACTCTCCGGGCTCCTGGCTCGTGACATGAAAGGGGGAGGGACAACGAGCGTCAAGCGCTAGCGAGCAACATCACAACCAACCCCAATGGAGAGGGCTCGTTGTATGAGAAAATACAGTTATCACAATATATATATATATAAACAATTACTCTATCAATAAACAATGGGTCTGAGTACTTATGAAGTTTCAACACGGGCATAGGTACGTCGAGCGAAATAATCCAAACAAGGAAACCCTCATGTATATACCTTATATCCCAAATTGAAAATCCCTAAGTACCAAACCCGGAGTCTAATACGTGCACAGAAATAAGCAAAAAGGAAATACAACCCATCTTAGGACATATATATACTGTATTATGTAACGTCCCACGTAAATACCATGTC